GGGAGCAAAACGGCTGTGAAGGAAAAGGTGGCCTGTGGCTAACTGGAACGCTCTGGGCTTTTTCAGGAACTACTGACACTCATGAGAGCTTCCAGGTGTTAGATAAGACAAATAACGGGGCAGGTTATCTCCAGACGTTCATCCCACCCTACGGAGAGGCTTCGGATGACTGATGGGTTTCTTGTTTTTGTGGCAAGAGGGCTTTTTATTATTATTATTATTATTATATTTGCAGTTTCTCCTAAAAAATCAGAAAATTCACCAAAGTCTCACATGCCAGGAAAGAGTGCTGGATTAGAAAGCAGTAGGATCAGATTGGTCCTTTTCAAAGATTTATCTACATATTTTTAATTTGAAAGGCAGACTTACAGAGAGCAGGGAAGAGGTCTTTTATCTGCTGGTTCACACTGCAAATGGCTGCAATGGCCAGAGCTGAGCTGATCCAAAGCTGGGAGCCAGGAGCCAGGAGTTTCCTTTGGGTCTCCCTTGTGGGTGCAGGGTCCCAAGGACCTGGGCCATCCTCCACTACTTTCCCAGGCCACAAGCAGGGAAGGGAAATGTGACAGCCAGGACTAGCAGTGGCTCCTGTATGGGGACCGGCACAACAGGTAAAGGATTAAGCTGCTATGCTACTGTGCTGTCCCCAACCTTTTTTTTCCTTTTTTTTTTTTTATAATTTGTTTATTTACTTGAAAGTCAGAGTTAGAGAAAGAGAAAGACGTTCCATCTGTTGGTTTACTCCCCAAATGGCCACAGTGGCCAGGCTGAAGCCAAGAGCATTGGCGCCTGGGGGTGCGGGGCACAGCACTTAACTTCTCAATTGCTGCACTTGTAGGGGATACTGGCATCATATGTGGCAACTTAAGTCATTGCTCCATCACACGGGCCCCTCAAATCAGTCTCCTGATGTGTGGCGCATTGCTCCAGTCCGGCTCCTGTAAGCCCTGCGCTGTGGCCCCTGGCATTGCCCCCTTTGTACCTCCCAACAGTAGACATTTTTCTTTTCTCAACAGAGGGCATGAAATGGGTGGGGTTAGGCAGACAAAATTCCACTCCAAACTATGACTTGTCTTCCTCAACACACCTGCTGTTCGCCTCAGCCAGTTCCTGACACCTGTGCTCTCATGGTACCACTGGCAGACTGCCCCGCCCTGCACCTGGGAAGTCAGTCACCAGGATCCCATATGGGCACTGGTTCATATCCCAGCTGCTCCACTTCCAATCCAGCTCTCTTTGTTCTGGGAAAGCAATTGAGGATGGCCTAAAACCTTAGGACCCTGCACCTGCATGAGAGACTCAGAAGAAGCTCCTAGCTCCTAGCTTCAGCTCGGCTCAGCTCCAGGCATTATGGCCACTTGAGGAATGAACCAGCAGATAGAAAATCTTTCTGTCTCTCTCTCTCTTTCTCTCTGTAAATCTGCCTTTCCAATAAAAATAATAAATCTAAAAAAGAGAGAGATGTAATGTTTCATTCCCCCAGGACCTTCTGCAGATTTTTAAATCCATATTTTCCTGTTTTTTTTTAACAAATGCCATAATTCCTTTTTCTCAAATTCTTGTCTCTTTATAAATGTTGCTAATTTGTTCACTCGTAGATATGAAGGCTCCTTAACAAGTGTAGGGAACATATGTATCATGCAATCATAAATGGATTTCAAAATTCATTTGCAATAAAATCACATTTTTTAAATATTTTACTTTTGATTTATTTGACAGAGAGGGAGAGATACAACAATAAACAGATCTTTCAACTGCTAGTTTATGCCCTGGTGGTTACAGTAGGCAGGAGTGGACCCAGACAAAGCCGGGAGCCAGCAGCTCCACCCACGGCTCCCACGTGGATGACAGAGACCCAAGCACATAGACTCTCTTCCATTGTTTTCCCACGTGCCTTACCAGCAAGCTGGACTAGAAGTTAAGTAGCCGGGACTCGAACTGGCACTCCAAAACTGGATGGCAGCTTGGTGAGCTACACCACAACACCAACTGTGTCCTATAAGTCCTTTCTCTCTGAGCCCTTTGACGTCTTCTCCGACAGAATCCTCTGCTCGGAGATCACTGGGGAACTTCTGATAAGTCTAGGTTGAGGCAAGCAGAACAGAACTGTGCGGAATTTAGAGTGGGAGTTCCGTCCTCGTGCCTGGGAAACTCTCCCTCCATCATCCGAAACTGTGGTTCCTGGAAGTCTCGTTTTCATCTCTCACAGGAATCAATGTGCAGAATATAGAAAGAGCCACAATTCAACAGAATACTAACTCTACTAAAAACTGGGCCGAGAACTTGAATCAATAGGCGTCCAAAGAAGAAATACAGGTGTTCTGTAAGTGTAGAAAAAGAGGCTCAACATCCACAATCAAAAGGAGATGAAAATCAAAACCTCATACAAGATGCCAAAAAGCAACAGGAAAACACACCACAAAACAGCAAGAGCTGGCAAGCAGGTAGAGAAAATGGGACTCTTTCTGGTCTGCTCATGGGGATGTGAAAAAGCAGACAGTGAGAACAGGGGCCGGTAGTCCCCCCACAATGAAAAGCAGGAAAGCAATGTAGACCAGCAATTCCCTCTCTGAGTTTGTGTATAAAAAAAAAAAAACTGACAGAGACTCACAGACACGTGCAAGTCCGTGTTTACATCAACATTATTCACGATAGTCAGAAGTAGAGGCAACTCAAGTAGATACGCAAGCTTGTGTGTGAGTGAATGCGTGGTCATCCTGGAAAAGGAGGGAAACTCTAATACGCGCCACAGTGTGGATACCACCTGAGGACGTCGGCCAGGTGAGATGAGCCGGTCAGAAAATGGCAAATGCTGCATAATTCCAGGTCTGTGAGTGATACTCGGATTGACAGACCTGGAGAGCGGAGTAGTCATTCAACTCCGCAAGGAGTTGTTGCTATGACGGAGTTGTGCAGGCAAAAAGGGGTGAGGGTTGTGCAACAATGTGGATGTGCTGAACACGACTGAACTGTGCACTGAAAAATAGCTGCCATGGCAAGTCTCTTGTTCTGCCCATTAAATCAGCTAAAAAGCCAGATAAAATCAGCAACTACCTATTGGGCTCCTGCACTGGGCCCAAGAGAACAGACTGAAATAGTCACTGCCACAGTCACTCCACAAGCTGAAAGTAAGCTGCTTATCAGACTGAGCAATCAGGAGTGGGAGCAGCCAAATCCCCAAGCCAGCCAGTGTCAGCTGCAAGATAAAGAAACCCCTCTGCTTTCACCTTTACAGGAGAGTCACTCTGAAATGACCAACCCGCCTACCATTTCCTGCTTCTGCTTTCCTCAGCCCTTCTCTGTCTAGAAATATAACACCCTCTGCATTGCTCACCGGCTGTTCTGTAGGATGAGATGTGGCTTGTCTGGAATCACAAACGGAAGCCAAGTAAGACCTCTAAATGGAATTTGGTGTAATTTCATGTTTTGACAGCAAGGATGTCAAAGACGTCGTAACTGCAAGGAGAGTTAGTAAAAACCACTTTACAGTGGAGTCATGCGCGTTCAGGCCCTCTGCCTGGGGAACAGCGCCCCGTGCCCTTGTAGAACAGAAGCAAAGCCAAGTCCACATTGTGGTAACAACTTAACAGAGACCACATCATCACAAACGTCACGCTGCCAGTCTGTGTAACGGGGAGAAACGCCACTGGCATTACAGCTTAGAAAAAGAGCATGGGGCTCTAAAACTGAAATAGGCTCTCATCCATGCTAATGGACACAGACTAGCAGGGGAAAGGTAAAACTGGAATGAACTCCTTGGTTGGATGTGTTGTTTTCTGCCTAAAAATACATCTTTGAACTGTTAGACTAATGTTCATACAATGGACTAAAACAGGATTTTCAGGATTCCCGCTTGGAAAGAGTTGTTCTAAAATGTACAAGATTCATAACTTCGTATAAGAGATATGACTTTATTTTCAATCTCAGTACAGTGAGAAAAGACTAGAACATGCTTTTTAGACATACCACAAAGGCAGTATGTGACAGATTCTCCAGTGACAATTTCCACATGATCCCTGGCCCTGCAAATCTTTGCATAAACAGTGTTTCCTAAACATCTTTCAGTGCTTTAGGGAAAGTACCTATTTCTGTCATTGCTGTAACACCTAGGACTGTGTTACACCCACATTTCTTGCCCACATAGCCTGCTAAGGGAGACTCATCATCTGGCTTCTTAATTATTTGTTTTTCTTTTCAGAAAGAGAGAGTGAGAAAGAGAGAGAGAGAGAGAGAGAGAGAGAGAACATGCACTCCCATCTGTTGGTTCACTCCAAAAACCTACAATAACCCGTATCGGGCTGAGTGAATTCAGGAGTTAAGAACTCAAACCGGGTCTCCCCGATAGATGGTGGGAATTTAACTATTGGAGGCAGTACCTGCTGCTTCCAGGAGCACTTATCAGCAAAGAAACCAGAATTGGGAGCAGACCCAGCCGTCGAACTCAGGTGCTCCAATACAAAACACGGGCAACCAAAGTGGTACTGCAGCCATGGCCACATGCCCATATGTTTTTAAATCCATGGATATTACACACTAATGATGCTGTGTGAGCTATTTCACAGAGGCATGCACACAAAAAAAGCAAGAACTCAAGAGTTTACAAGTGTTACAAATGCTACCAAGGCCCAGATTTCACATCTAACATGTGTCATTATGTGGATACACACCACAAACTGGGGAGGCAACACAACCTCTCCCAGTGTGATCTGATGTCAATCACTTAGTTTGGCTACCCTATAAGTCATTTGAACTCCTGAAAGTCTAGCTTGCATGGAGCCCTGGAGCCTGGCCTGCCCTCTGAGCTTGTGGGTGCTGTCTGCTCTGCCATGCTACAAAGTAGGGTGGTCAGGCTCCTCATTCCCAATGAGGGACTCTGATTCTCTAACCATCAGCTCCAAAAGACAAGAGACTTAAGTGGGAAGCTCTATGTCCCTTTCCTATGGAGAAGAGCCTAGAACAAATATAGTGTCAGCAATTTCATGGCCTGAAAGGAAAAATATGTATCATGGTTTTCCTGTGTCTCCAAGTAGTGGCTGCAGGAACAGTCCTCCTGTTCCAAACACACAGACAATGATAAACACCCAGAGAAACACCCTGTCCACCACCATGGCCACGTACTTCCAGTCGTCCTCCACCTGAAATGCAAAGAGGCAACACTGTTAAGATCCCAAACTGCAGGAAACATACTCTGCTTCACAAAGCAGTTTCTTTTCCAAAAGTTTCCCCAACAATGTTTTTTTATGTATTTAGTTGAGAGGTGGAGAGAGAGAGAGAGAGAGAGAGAGAGAGAGAAGCGAGAGCTCCCCAAATGTCTACAACCACTGGGAACGGGCTGGGGTAGAAGCAGGGAGCTGGCTACTGAGTCTGAAGAACTCGATGAGTCATGAGTCTCTGGGCCACAGAGCTTATTGCATTGCTGAGGGGCCAGCACTGTGGCACTGTGGGTTAAACCACTTTCAGCACCTATCAGGGTGCCAACTTGAGTCCTGGCTGTTCTGCTTCCAATCCATCTTCCTGCTAATGCACCTGGAAAGGCAGCACAAGCTGGCCTAAGTGCTTGCGTCCCTGCCATCTGTATGGAAAACCTAGACAGAGTTTCAGGCTCCTGGCTTCAACCTGGCCCTGCCCCAGCTATTGTAGCCATTTTGAGAGTACAGTGGATAGACGACCTTCCTCTTTTCACTCTGCCTTTTAAGTAAAGGAATAAATAGATCTTCAAAATAAAAATTTTAAAAATATATAAAGAGAAATGCTTCTCCTTTAATATCTCAACTTGTATTAGGTACCCCACTGGATACTCTGGGGTTTAAGACAGGAGGTGTGCTGGGAGCGGAGGAGTCTATGGGCACACATGGCATCCCCCTGGGACACGCACTGCTGCTGCTGCTGCTGACACTGCTGTGGACGCCTCTGGGCAGCAGCTCCTGTTCTTCCATCTCTGGTCACCATCTCAGGGGTGACAGCTTAAGAATCCTACCAGATGGGACCCAGCCCATGGCTTCTCTCCTAGATAGGTGGATGACATCATCCCACAGGTGAGGGGGACCCTGTGTGACTGACAGCCTCTGGAGTCTCTTCCCCTGTGCCAACTGGGCAGATCCGAGTCGTGCAGATGCCAGCAGCTGTGGCAAGAGGCAACACCGGGAGCTGCAACCTGAGTTCCCAGTGGGGTGGGGCAGGGTGGGGTGTATGTGAGGCCCTGATCATGCTCATGGTATCCAGAATCCACACGAGCCTCTGTCGTCAGGATGGGGTGGAGGTGGGGCTGGCATGGGGCAGGTGGAGGGGTCTGAGCTGCTGTGGGCTCTGGGGGTCGAAGCAGAACAAGTGGCAGCTCACAACACCTCTGGGGGGCTCATCTGATCAACACTGCCTCCTCCCTCCCCAGGAGACTTGGAGGGGTTGGAGTTGCCAGGTTCGCGCCCTGGCTCTGACCATTCTCACTGGCAGGCTGCTCTGCAGCCCTTGTCCTCCACCCTTTGGGGCCACTTTTCCCTTCCGGGCTTTCTCTACCACTGTTTCCCATACAGGCATTCTTGGTTTCATGACCCAAGGACTCCCGGAATCTTCTCTGTAACCGAATTTCACTTGAGGTCTCACTTCCAGAGGTGAAGCCTCTCCCTGGGGCTGGCCCCCATTAGTCCACACCTCACTGGGCTGCAGGCTGAGGCTGCCTGACCTCTTGCAAACCAGTGGGTTCCCAAGGCTCTGCCTCTACAGTGCCCGCCCCCCCGCCCCCGCCCGTGGCTGCTCCAGGTGTGGCTGGCTGGCTGGACCAGAAGGGCTGAGCACTTACCGCCTTGGTCTCGTTGTGGCTCTTCATATTTTCTGCTATGAACTGAACACTGTCGATCACATCTTCAACCTCAGGTGAGTGCTCTACGTTCTCAGTCTCCCACTGGTGGCTTACTCGCCTCCTGCTGGGGACAGGCTCGCTGGATTTGTGACAACGGTAGCGCTCCTTAAGAAGTTCAGGTTCCACACGATTAGCAAACTTGACCTTGGCAGGCCTACGGGCCACGCCCTTGGGATGCTGACCAGAAGCTGTCTCCCCCACCATGGTCACAGGTCTGCGCATCACGAGCACCTGGGGGAGCAGCTGGAGGAACACTGTCCTCACCCACTTGGGCATGGTGTGTGTGGCGGGGGTGCGGTAGTGGATGTTCAACACAAACACGGTCACTGCGATGGACAGGGTGACGAAGATCATGGTGAACAGCAGGTACTCGCCCACCAGCGGGATCACCAGCGACGTGGAGGGGATGGTCTCCGTGATGACCAACAGGAACACCGTCAGAGAAAGCAGAACCGAAATGCAGAGCGTCACTTTTTCACCACAGTCTGAAGGCAGGTAGAAGACCAGCACGGTCAGAAATGAAATGAAGAGGCAGGGGATGATGAGATTGACGGTGTAAAACATGGGCAGTCTTCTGATGTAAAAAGAATAGGTGATATCCGTGTAGATCTCCTCACAGCAGTTGTACTTGATGTCATGCTTGTAGCCAGAAGCATCAACAATTTCCCACTCACTGTTTTCCCAAAAGTCATTCATGTCCACTTTTGATCCAATGATCACGAGATCAATTTCAGCCTTGTCATAAGTCCAGGAGCCAAACTTCAAGGAACAGTTTTGATGATCAAAAGGGAAAAAGGTTATATCCATTGGACAGGAACTCTTAAAGATGGCCGGTGGGGTCCAGGTGATGGTCCCATTGTAGTCAAGGAGAGCCTTGGTCTTGCCTTCCATTCGGAAGCCACCAACAGCACTGCAAAGCAAAGTAGACCCATTAGGGGTAGTCCTCTTGCCGTGTGGGCCCAGGTGCCTAAAGAAGCTGCAGAAAGAGACCCATACTTGTTGTAAAGAACGATGTCAGGTTTCCAAATCTTATCCGCTGGCACTCGAAGACTCTCAATCCCATCATATTCTGTTGGATCCCAGCGCAATTTATAGTCATTCCAGATCTGAAAGAAATAGAAATCAGATTCTGGATTTTCTTGATTTCTGCCTGCAATGACAGCCACTGAACTAGTGTTAAAGATGGAAGCTGAGCATTCCATGCAGGTTTCCTGTGAGAGTAGCAGGAGTCCAGTAACTAGGGCCACAACCACTGACCTGCCGGGCTCTGCACCAGCAGGTAGCTGGAGTCAGAAGTGGGAGGCAGGCATTGAACTCAGCTATTTGCATGGGGAAGGTGCTGTCTTAAACAGCATCTTAACCACCAAGCCAAATGCTGATCCCATTAGGTCTTTTTTTTTTTTTTGAGAAAATAGAGTTGAGAGGTTGCATCTATGAAAAATAGGGGATAAACAGTGGATCTTATTTCAGCAATTTGATAATAATAGATAAAACTAATAATTAAAAGATAATTACAGATGATCAATTATTGACTTATATACAGGCTTCATTTCCATATTCCATGGCTTTACAGATTTACCCAAACTAGAGTAGCGATATATTTCCTAATGTTTGTTTTTAAAGAGTTCTAGTCTGCAGTAATGAGTTTGCTACAACCAGTGAGTCAAGGGCTGAGGATTTTTTACGGAAGAAGGAAATGACGTGCCCCACAGACAGTTGTTGGAAATGTGATCTGTATGTTCCTGGCTTCAGCCATCAGCTTCTCTGGGCCAATGGGTGAGCATCAGTTGCTGGAACTCACATCCCAGATGGTAAAAGTAGAAGACTTGTGAACAGAAGTCAACAAGGACAGCAGTGTCCACCTCGGAGACCCTTCTGTCACAAGCTTTCTGCACCTGGAAAGCTGGCTTCCGGTCAGCTGTCATCAGAGCTGGGGTGCAGACGGTGGGGATGCCACACTAGATAACAATCTAGACTGTCAGAGACTGGGGATGGAAAAGGACACCACTGGTGACATCCAGTGGCATGGGTCAAACAGGGGCACATCCAGTAGAAACACGTACGTGACGCAGCCACAGATTCGTTTCCATGATCTGGTTTACTTCATCCTGGGGAGAAGAAATAGTACTTTCTTAGCCTCAAGCTTCCTTGCAGAGGAAGTGGATCTTAGAGCAAGAATTGCCACTAACAGAAGAGACAGGTCTGAGTTTTTTGTTGCAAAGGAGGAAAGTAACGCACAAAAAAGCACCCCATATGAGTCCCAAGCAAGTTCCACAGGTAGAAAAAGTTGGTTTGAAGCAGCACTGGTGAGGCCGCCTTGGGTTGGAAGAGCTTAGAATTGGGTCATTTACAGCAAAGTTTATCTATTTGAGAAACAGAGAGAGTGATCTTTAACCCACTGGCTAACTCACCCAAAGATGAACTCCAGTGGCCACTGGACCCCTCCTTTCTGAAAATGAAAGTTTTGTTCATTCAAGTTCCAGACCTTCTGGTTCCTAGGGGCGGGTTTTTGTTGTTGTTGTATTTTGTTGTTTTCTATCCTGCATGAGTTCATGACTTGCCTTTTGGGACTCTATGTTCCGTCTGTACCTGCACAGTAAGCCTTACCCAGCCCTGTCTGCTGCCAGGATTTGGGATGTAAACCTATCTGTGTGTGTGTGTGTGTGTGTGTGTGTGTGTGTGTCTTTCTCTCTGCGTTTCGAATAACAGTGGGGAGGAAGTAGAATAGCATTTAGTATGCAACCAGAGATGTGGTCTGGAGCCAATCCTTTTGACTTTGACAGGGATCATGGCTTTCAACTCCTGTCTTGCAGAGCTAATGTAGGGCTCACCTCTTGGGTGAAGCCTTTCCTGTCACAGCAGCCCACAAAGGGTTCTGGGCCCATTAAAGAAAACAAGAGTGTAGGCAGGAGGAGGGAGGGGAAATGCCATGGATGATATAGGTTCTGCACCTGCTGTTCCTGCTTTTACTCACATACCAAAAGCCTCCCTCCTATCCTATGCATCAGAACCCTATGGCTCTCAGTCCTGTGCCTTTGTGACTCCATGCACCTCCCAAGGTCAGTGGCAGCTCTGTTTTCCAGGTGGAATCTGCCACACACTCAGTTCACATCCTGTCTTCCCACCTGCACCACCACCTTAGGCTTTTCTTTCTTTTATACTTAGTGTTATTTCTTTGAAAGGTAGAGACACAGACACAGACAGAAAAAGATCTTCCATTTGCCAGTCCATTCTCAAGATGTATTCAGTAGACAGGGCTGACGTTGGCTGAAGTCAGGAGTTGAACTCCATCTGAGCCTCTCATGTGGATGGATGGCAGGGACACAACTCCGTGAGCTGTCACCACTGCCTCCCACGGCTCTCTTCAGCAGGAAGCAGAGCCAGGACTTAAACCTAGACTCTAATGCAGGGTGGAGCACCACGAGTAGCATCTCAGAGCCCAGCGCTCATCCCAACTCAGGCCCTCACTGCACAAACATTCACCAAGTCACCAGCAAGTGATGAGAGCAGCCGCTGGATGCTGCAGTCCTCGCCTTCAGGTGTTTCAGCTGTCAGACAGGGAGACGTAAGAGAACAGAGTACAAGATAATGCCAACTCCTCTGAAAGGAAAATGAAGAGAGCTGGAGTGGTCCATACCTATGTATGTGTGGATGCACACAGCAAAGAAGGCTTCTAGGAGCTGGCAGTGACTAAATGTAGCAAGTGCCACATTGCCCTGCAGAGACCCGGGGCCATTGAGGGAACATATTCCAGGCTGGTGTCCCAAACACAATGAGTCCTAAGCAGGTACAACTCAGCGTGAAGGCCACTGGAGACACACAGCCTTGGACAGCCTTGCAACACAACCACGTGGAGACTCCAGTAGGATCCCCAGAGGCCAGCAGTGGATTCTGGAAAGTTCCTCAACTGACCTTACTTCCCTAGACAGCCCAGTAATCTCCCAATAGATGTGCTCACCCCATACCTGGCCTACATCACAGAGCCTTTCAGGGGCACTCTGTTTGCCCACTCCCTTTTCATTGCTGCTTTCTGGAGGATCCTGAAGAGAGATCTCACCAGGCTTCCTCCTGCAAACTGGTTTGTGTCGAGCTGTGGTAAGTGCTCTGGTTTGAAAAGGTCAACAGAAGGAGTTGCATTTGGGTCTCCCACTGGTGTGCAGAAGCAAAGAAGTGAGCTGTAGGTGTTTGTCTCTTGGCAAAGCAGTTCACAGTTCCCCAAATATCCAAGCCTACGGCCAATGCCTTCTGGATGGGAGTCACCTTGAAATCTACAGAGCCCAGCTGTCAATCACAGGACTAACCTGAGCCCACAGAGGGTTTCAGAGGTCAGCAACAGAAGCCCTTCCACCTGCCGATGCCTGCTGCTTTCTGCACTAGACACTGTTTATTGGGCAGGATCATCCTGGCAACAGTGCTGCCTCCTCAGCAATACCGCCATGGACTGGCAAAGCTCCATAAGTGAGGACACACTCAGAGGTATCAACCAACTCCATCCAATTCCATGCCACAGCAATGGGCATTGGCACCACTACCAGAGAGTCCAGCACAGCCAGGGGAAACCCACAAAACTACCCGGCTTGCTGGGATCAGGGCCTGAAGCCTCTTCCTTGGGAAACTTAAACAGTGGATGCTCAAATGCATTAAAGACTTTGAGTTATCATCTCAGAGGGATTCGTTTCTAGGAGCAGTAACACTCACAGATTCAAATCCAAAGGACCAAGGGGGCTTCATCTAATACAGAGATTAAGCACACCACTCAGAAGAGCCAGGCCATCACAGACGCTAGGCAGGTGCTTTGTCCTGGATCCATGAGAGGCACAGCAGTCACCTGCTGGCCCTAAAAACACCCACCAGAAAACCTGGTGACAAAGGCCAGCCTGCCTAGAAGCAAGCTGTAGGAAGTGCTTAAAGACCAGCTGGGTAGCTCACGCAGCAGCAGAATGGGGTGTGGATGGAGGAAACCAGCTGCCCTGCCTCAAGGAGCAGCCACAGAGCTCACCTGATAACAACCACATGGTCCAACAACAGGGTTGCTAGACATCTACCCTCAAGACGGAAAGATTGATCTTTATACAAAAGTCTGCACACCACTGTCCACAGTAGCCTTATGGCAATAGATCACAACTGGAATTGATCCCAATGTTCCTCATTAAGCACGTGGCAAAAATACTCCCTGGTACACTTTCCTGCTAATGTGCCTGGTAAAGCAGAGGAAGATGACTCAAGCCCTTGGACCCCTGCACGCATAGCGGAGACCTGGAGGAAGCTCCTGGCTTCTGCCTGGCCTAGCCCTGACTACTGTAGCCATTTGGGGGAGTGAACCAACAGATAAAGGATCTCTCACTGTATCTCTCTTTCTGTTACTCTGCCTTTCAAATATATATATACAATAAATCATTTTTAAAGATTTATTTTTATTGAAAAGTCAGATATACAGAGAGGAGGAGAGACAGAGAGGAAGATCTTCTTCCATCCAATGGTTTACTCCCCAAGCGGCTGCAATGGCTGGAGCTGAGCAGATCCAAAGCCAAGAGCCTCTTCTGGGTCTCCCACGTGGATGCAGAGTCCCAACGATTTGGGCCGTCCTCAACTGCTTTTCCAGGCCACAAGCAGGAAGCTAGATCAGAAGTGGAGCTGCCAGGGTTAGAACCAGCACCCATATGGGATCCTGGCACGTTCAAAGTGAGCCCTAGACTATCATGCTGGGCCCATAAATCTTTTTTTTTTTTTTTAAAGGAAATTATACTGAGTGAATTAATGGGAAAAAAAATCAATTCCATACAATTACATACTAGTTGTGATTCTGCTTATATATCACATTTTTAAGTGGTAAAATTTTATAAATCAAGGGTAAGTTGGACAAAGTGTAAAAGCATACTTCTAATCCCTGCATATAAGTCTACAATTATTCCCAAAAAATAAGATTTCAACCTAAGGAAACCACATTTCTCAGTCTCCCTAGAGGTAATGGAGACAGAAAACAGAACTTGTCAGGGGACTCCTAGGAAAGCTCCTGCAGGATGCCATGCTGTCTCCTCTGCACCCTCGACCTTTCTCTCCTTACCTCCTGCTCCTTGTCAAGCCTGTGAATACGGGAGCAGACAGTGGGCATGGGCGTTAAGACACCACTTGGGATGCCTGCCTGAGTGTCCAGCTAAAATTCCAGTTCTGCTTTTCCCAGCTGCCTGCTAATTTGCATCCTGAGAAGTAGCAGAAGATAGCCAGAGTCCTGTTAGAGTTCCAGGCTCCTGTTTTAAGTCTGACACAGCCCTGGCTGTTGCAAGTATTTGGGGAGTGAATCAGTGGAAGGGATTCTCTCTCTTTCTCTCTCTCATTGTGCCTTTCAAATAAATAAAGTCAACTCAAAAAAGAGAGAGAGTTTTGGTCCTGCTTGCCCTTGAACACAGCCACGATAAATTAAGATATCTACATTCATCATCCCCTTTTCAGGAGTGGATAGCACCATCTATGAAACAAGCTGCATTTTTCCGCCTTTGTTACTAAACACAGCAGACTTAACGCATATTCTTTGCCTGTGTGGAGTAAAAAGAGGGTGCACTTTGGGGGTGCATGGGCCTGATTCACCTCAATTTCAGTGCTCTGTCAATGTCTAACTCCCACGGCCACAAGATGAGGGTGAAGACGGTGGCCATGAAGTGCAGACACCACTTCTGATGCAGGACGGATGAGCCACTTCTCCTGGCTGGTGAACTGGCTAGGAAAACCTTCCCCACGTGTGGGCTGCCGGGGGGACCTCTCCTTGACCACGGGACATGCAAGGGCCAGCACTCACCCAGATGCAGGTGTGCTTGTCCAATGTGGAGTCCCTGGAGTGTAGCCACGGTGGAGAACTGCCTGACTCAAAGAGAGAGCTCCATCTCCATGACCCCTTGAGCATCCCACCGTGGAGCCACAGCACTCACCACATTGGCCAGCTGCGTGATGGCCACTTCAAAATACACCGTCACAGGATCCGAAACATTTTGCACAGGCCGGATGAACCGGTTGTACTTAGAAAACAGTTTGTGGAACAGTCTCTCCTCAGATGCACAGCCCGCACAGCCTGGGGGAGGGAAGTAAACGGGAGGGTCAGGGACATGGTGAGGGCTTGGAACTTTCGTGTATATCACTATACAAAGCTGACCATCTGTTCAGCAGAGAAAGCAGCTCTGTGGTGATAAAGGACCAGCCTGTTGTCTGAGATGGATCCGGCACAGCCAGCAAGGTGCTCAGCGAGCGCCTTCCCCGAGTGAACCAAAGTCATCGTTGGCTTCATTCATCAGGGACTTCGCAACCATCTTCCCGGTCAAAATCGATTTTAGACACTCAGTTGTTTGGGGATGTTTATAAGAATGAAAGTTTTTACATACAGGCAAATTTACCTGAAACCTTTGAAAGAGGATTTCAAATTAGTTCTTGAGAAACAGAATTCAGGTGTTTAGAATCTGGATCATCATTTCATGTGTCTTTCTGTATTCTTCCAAGGGTGTGCTAAAAGTAAGTTGCTTGCTTTCATTTGATGCAATTCACGTCATTAATGGCCTCTCTACATGGTCTCTCATCAAGTTCATGTTTGACAAAGGAAATAATATTCCCTTCACATCCCTCCACTCCCAGAAATGTCTATGTGGCAAGGAAAGACAAGGAATGGGTTGGCAAAGTTTCTCAGGGAGGAGGGCTGCTGTGCTGCCAACTTGACAAGATGGGCCAGCAGGTACATGTGGAAGCACTGAAAAACTGAGGCTTTAGAAGAGGAAAAAATGCTAAATGTGAAGCACCGTGCCTGCTGTCCCAGTTAGGAATAACAAGGACAGTTCTTCACGAAACAGTTTCAAAAGCTTCCTTGTTTCCCATCTTTCTCTTTTGGAACATTTTAGATACACCCTTCTGCCAGTTCGAAAAGCAAGCCCCCTGTCCACCCCCACAGTCCCGGGGAACGTGGTGATGCTCAGCAGAGCAGCTGCCACCCCTTTTCAAAGTCTTAACTTTTCAAATGACTGATCTGACCCTTAGGATGCATTTCAGCATTATCATACAATGTGTTTCCTGGAATGAGGATGATTATCTACAAAAGAACAAGTGCATTCACCCAGTAACCATGTCAGCTAGCAAATAAATCAGCGCATTGGAAATAAATAAATTCTAACTACAGGTAAACAAATGGAAGGCATCCACAGCAGAGAGAGATTGAAAACTGCAGCATTCTTCTTCATTTGCATTGAGAAGCCACGTTTAATTAGGAAAATGTAATAGAATGTGATTTACACATACCACACCCGAATCTCACCTTACCGATCAAACCTCATGGACGCACAGCGAACAGATAAATTAGCAGCCGCAACAGGGGTGGTTCCGCTGTAGACACTTGCTATGTTTATTCAGAGTCCTTCAGATGTGCTTGCTCATTCAAGTATGGCTGGAAAGGAAAAGTGAGCATGCAGAGCTAAAAGGGGGTGTGGGTGTCAGCAGCCACAAAACCTACCTTTAAAGAAAGGTGTGAATGCACCCAGGCAGAGACACAAGCCCAAGGGTAGGAATCCCTGACTCCTGCCAGCTAGCATGCTGCAAATACGCTCTGGTTCCTTCTTCCAGGGAAAAGACTGCAGAAAACAGAGCAACCACACAGCTGCACGAACCAGACCTTTTAAATCCTCTCTGGCTCACGGTATCCACGTGTCTTTTGCAACAGTGCACCACGCGGTGTTCCCAGAGGCTGGGGCAGACACAGGGCAGAGGACAAAGACTCAGTCTGCTGTCAGATGAGTCATAGCGTGTCCCATCACCTGCCTAGGATCTCTTTCCAGGCAGGAAAGGTGCAGGAAAGCAGGAAGGAGTGTGAGGCAGTGGGGGCCGAGGGAGCACAGACTATGGAGCACCTCAGCAACTCCACCTGCAGGAGCAGACAAACACCTGCTGAGCTCCAATCACTGGCCAAGCACCTGCTCACCTGGCACTTCAGTGCACTCTGGGGAAAGGAAATTAAAAGAGAAATTTATTGGTTAAACTGCCACCTGGAATGTCAGCACCCCACATGAGCATCATTTCAACTCCTAGCTGCTCTACTTGTAACCCAGCTCCCTGAAAGCAGTTGGGGATGACCCACGTGCTTGGGCCTCTGTGACCCACGTAGGAGGTCCAGGTGAAGTTTCTGGCTCCTAGCTTCAACCTGATCCAACCAGGGATGTTGTGGCCATCTGGGAGGTGAACCAGCACATGAAAGAAGCTCTTCTCTCTCTCACACGCACTCAAAAAAATAAAACAATTCCTTTCAAAAAAATAAAACAATGATTTTTGCAAAGTAAGTTAATTGAGATGCAAACATTTTTGAAACTCAACTGTAGTTTTTCATAATATGCACTTTCCACTTTTTGAAGACCACTGCTTTTCAAATGCTGTGAGTTGCCCAATGATTGAAGACCTCACTTGGACAGAAAGTTTTCACTCTCTGTTTTATGAAGTCCCGCTTAGATTAGACACAAGGCATTTTTTCCTTCTAATTCTAGGACTTTCAGTGCTTTTTCCTTCCAAGTCCAGGAATCATTGTTCAGATGGGAGGTTAGATGTCAAAAGCTGAGGAATCTAGACATTTTCGTGCTTATTTAAACAATCAACTTTTATTTAAGTTTGTGGTCATTGCAATTCTTGTCCATGAGAACTTCTGGTCACACCTGATTTTCTTGCTGATTACAGAGGAGCTGATCCTGACGATGCTCTCTCAGGCCTTCCCCTCCCTGCCTACTGTGATGTCAACACAGAGCCAGCACACTTCGCAAATACACAAGTTCAGACACATAACTTCCCTCAAAATTCTGCCAGTCTCCTATCTCTTGGGAGGACAAAAGAGGAACTGCATGGACAGTTTATCACAGGTACAGGAAGGATTAAAGGATGAAATATAGGTAAAAGTTAGCAGAGGACGGTTTGTTTTCATGTAAAGTGAGAGTACCTATTGGAGAGGGAGTTTGGGCACATTCCAGGTTGAATTACCCAACTGTGAGGTTTGGAACCATCAGTTTATATGATCAGGAAGCATAGGGGGTGGAGCTTCACTGAATATTCATAGGGCTGGGGCTGGGTTGAGTACCACCCATTTCCTTGTCCTTTTTTTGAGAATCATGGAAGTGTCGTGGTGTCAGGTGCAGGATGGGAGTAGGAACATCAGCTGTGGGAACTCATTCTAGTAATATTACATCTGCAGATCCTCCAGGGGATGCAGCGGCCAGCCACATTGGTGATTTCCATCTCGCAGTGATTCCAGGCAGCAGTTTTCAGAAACTACACTTTTTGGTAGCACAAGTGAGAGATTTGGGAAGAGCAGGCCACACGGAGATTCTGGCAACTTCAGCTCATCCCATGAGCTGCTCCTCTTTACCTCTAATCATCTCCTCCCTCCCTTCAGATTTTTTTGTTCTCTAATATTTATGGCAAAGCAAGGGAGGAAGGTCTGTCTTGTGTAACTTCTTCATCACGGGTCAGGCCATCACCTCTGCATAGACAGTAAATAAAAATTCCTTGCTGCCTGAAATAGAGGCTCCACCGGAGGAGCTAGAGACTGCAGTCCCTACGTGACCATCATTTTTACATGAAACTGTTGAATTCCGGAAGAGACAAGTTTAACAGGATGGGTCTGTAGGAGCCAGAAAAGGAACAAGAGTGACAACAGTGTCAGAGAGAGGAAAGTGTGGTGCAAGGAAGCCAAGAAATTCCCCTTCCCCAAATCCTGGTGCCTTTTGGTTGGATCATAAATCCTTGTGTAATCTCCATTCAGCAGATCATTGTTAATGTGAAGTGTTGTGGGCTAAGGAGTTGAATGGTGCTCGTTAGCCTAGGCAGGAACAGGAACTGGGCTTGTGGCTAAAAACACCTAGACTAATTGTTCTCATCTGTATCCAATATCCTGCTAAATGAGGATGGGGTGGGGAGAGTATATAAGGAGAGGTGAAGGAGCAATAAAGGGAGACTCCGCAGAGACTTCCACCATCACTGGTCTCCTGTTGGTGCTTCATCCCCCAGACCCTCTCCCTGTCCAGGTTCCTGGCTCTGCTGGTCAGAGCAGTTAAGTATATCAGCCTTTATCAATCTCCGTGTATACTTCACCTTGTTCTGCCACTGGGTAATCTAGCGCTAGTAAATCGTCCATGACCAAGCTAGGGAATCTAAACAGTCCTCTTTGCATGAGATCTGACCAGGGATCTGTGTCAAGTTGTCCTTGGCAGCCAATATGTCTCTTAAAGTAACTTCACGGTATATAGTAAGATTCTCTCTCCTTTTGGTCTTATGGCGGAAAAGTTTATCAGGAGTGTTATGCTGCAGTGGCGGTTTCCTCAGGAAGATGGTAGGGGAAGCAGGTCAGTTGGGAAGTACAGTAGCTTTAATGTCACTCTCTGTAAGGGGTAGTTATGGTAAAAGCAAACTTTTAAATTGTATCTTAGCTTTTTGAAGGTAAACTTGAGGTTTCCAACTGGCTCACAAGAGTAGACCAAATCATTCTCAAGGGCTAGAGGCTTAACTTTTGCCAGATAGACTCAACTAGAGGTTCCCTATAATATAACTACAGTGGCAGTGATAAGGATCACCTGAGATGGTCCCTTCCATTTCAATGGCTATTAGTCAGAGGGAGACCTCTGTCTCCAACCTTTCTAAAGATGCATTTATTGAGCCTGGCTCTGTACCCCAGTGGCTAAAGTCCTAGCTTTGTACACACTGGGATCCCATATTGGTGCTGGTTTGTATCCTGGCAGCCTCACTTTCCTTCCAGCTCCCTGCTTGTGGTCTGGTAAAGCAGTTGAGGATAGTCCAAAGCCTTGGTACCCTACACCCGTGTGGAAGACCCAGGAAAAGTTCCTGACTCCTGGCTTCAGATTGGCTCAGCTTCAGCCGTGTGGCCACTTGGGGAGTGAGCCACCGGATGGAAGATCTTTCTCTGTGTCTCTCTTTCTCTCTGAGAAAATGACTTTTCAATTAAAAAAATGCATTTGGGCCCGGCACGGTGGCGCAAGTGTTTAAGGTCCTCGCCTTGCACGCCCAGGATCCCATATGGGTGCCGGTTCTAATCCCGGCAGCCCCACTTCCCTTCCAGCTCCCTGCCTGTGGCCCGGGAGAGTAGCAGAGGACAGTCCAAGGCCTTGGGATCCTGCACCCGCGTGGGAGACCCAGAAGAGTCTCCTGGCTTCGGATCGGCATAGCATCAGCCGTTGTGCTCACTTGGGAGTGAATCATCGGACGGAAGATCTTCCTCTCTGTCTCTCCTCTCTGTATATCCGCCTTTCCAATAAAAAAAAATAATAAAAATAAATCTTTTTTTAAAAATGCATTTATTTACTTGAAAGGGTGTGAAGAGAGAGAGAGAGAAAAAAAAAAAGCATTTTTCATCTGCTGACTCACTTCTCAAATGACTGCAAAAGTCGGGTCTGGGCCAGGCTAAAGCCAGGAGCTAGGAGCTTCATCAGGACCTCCCACAAGCAGGGTAGGACCGTAGCACTTGAACCACGTTCTGCTAGCTTCCCAGGCACATTATCAGGAAGCTGGATTGGGTATCAAGAGTCCAATCAGAACTCTGATATGGAATGTGTAAGTCTCAAGTAGCAGCTTAACGCACTGTGTCACAAAGTTGTCTTCTCTCTCTAACCAAACCAAATCTCCCGGAGGATTGCTCAGAATTTGGGGGATCTGACACTGGGAGAATCTTGTAGCCATGTTCTGGCAGCGCTTCTGCACTTGTGCTAAATTGGTGATGTGCCTTAGTGTATTTTGTGATTCTGAATCAAGGAGGATGTCAGCAGTGAGGAAGGGCTTCCCATACAACAACACCTCAGAAGGATTCGCAGTAAAATAGCCTTGGATGCCATTCTAATCCCAAAGAGAACAAGAAGTGAACATAGCTTGAGCCAGGCTTCTGAGTTCCTGGACACAGTTTGGCCAGGGTTCTTTTAAGACAGTGGTTGGCTCTTTTAACCTTGCCTGGAAACTATGCTCTCCAGACATGTGGAGATAATAGGAGCTTCCCAGCGCTGTGGCCACCTGCTGGGTTACCCTGGAGATGTAGAGATAAAAGGAGCTTCCCGGAGCTGTGGCCATCTGCTGGGTTACCTTAGAGGTAGACCCTGTGAGCCCACCACGTGAATAAACACACTTAGTAAGACTTTGGATACTTGTTGTGTCCTTACCTTTCTGGTCAGAGAGACTGCTATCCACTCAGTAAAAGTATTGATGAGGACTAAAAAATACTGATGACCTCTGCTGGCAGTATAGTAGTGAAATCTGTCTCCCGGTCCTCATCAAGGCAGGTACCTCTGGAGGAGAAACAGTTCAGCAGAGCTGCCAGGGTTATTTTGTAGGAAGAGGGGGCAAGATTGAGTCATTCCCTTGATAACAGTAGATTGCCTTTTTGCCCCAGAGATACAAGGGACCCTTTGCCGTGAGACTTCTCTTTGCAGATTGGTACAGCACTCATTACTTTGGTAGTTTTCCACTGGGCTGCCATGGAGAGCTTGATTTTACAGATGCAATCATTGGCACAGCCTCATCACCGTGTGTACCACAGGAGGGCCTTCCAGTTGTC